AGCACACAAGTGAAACTATGATGTATTCCATCAAGTTTGTTTTAAAGATGGTGCTGAACAAAAATGTGATTTTTGGCTTTACATTTGAGTGGGTGTAAAATGGATTTTGCTGATGTTTTTAGCAGAGCATAAATTTGTTTTTCAGCTCTGAAACATTTATATTTGAAGTTAAAGTAATTTTAAAAAATGCTTTAAAAATGTCCAAATTTTAAAAGAGTGAAATTTTGACCGGCTGCTCTGTGCTGTGAGGGCACATAGTTGGTTGCAGGGTAAAAATTTGCATGGCTTCATTTAATATATGGATTATGAAGCAGTCATGTGGAAAGATTTGGTTTGTTGAAAGCTGGAATGACTCAGCTTTTATCGTGGAAAAAAGCTGAGACCAATCAAAGAAATGCAAGCAAGCACGAACATCTTTCATGTGAGCACTATTTAAAATCACCCGTTTTTCTTCTTCTTCTCCCATCAGGTCGGCGGCATGTTTGATACGGTGCAGCGCAGCACGCAGCAGACCACGGAGTGGGCGGTACTTCTCCTTGACATCATCAGCAGTGGCACAGTGGACATGCAGTCCAATAAGTAAGTGTTTGCTTCAAAGGAACTTCTATTGAAATATTGGCACATTATTTCTATGAACTGGATTTTCCAGCTGCTAGCACGTGACCTGCATTTTTAAAAGTTACAGTCGTATTTTGCTTTGCAAGAAACTGTGGAGTACCATCGAACGTCACTCGTGAATTTTTGAATAAACAGTCTAATAAACTGTAGTTTGAAAATCTTGAGTGTTACTGCTGGGCACTGACTTTATCTAACGGACTCCTGACTCTGCTTCTGTCCAACAGCGAGCTCTTCACAACAGTGCTGGACATGTTGAGTGTGCTGATTAACGGCACGCTGGCTGCTGACATGTCCAGCATCTCTCAGGGCAGCATGGAGGAAAACAAGAGAGCCTACATGAACCTGGTTAAGAAGCTCAGGGTAGGATGAGCAGTTTCCTCACTTATGCAAGATTTTGTTACCGTGTATAATACTTTCCATGTGTGATGTTAGAATAGAATAGAATAGAATAGAATAGAATAGAATAATCCTTTAATTGTCCCACAAGGGGAAATTTGGTTGTAACAGCAGCCAAAAAGACAAATATACAAACAAACAGTTACAGGACACAGAGCAGAAACATGAACAATTTTTCTTACATATTTACATTAAGGACAATGGTTACTATAAACAGAGAGTACTGTACAGTTATTAAATTAAATAAAAATAATTACAGGTAAGAGGCAAACCAGGTTGTAGTGCGAATTGGTTAATTAACTTATTGCAGTGACAGCATTGATGTAAACATCTATGTTTGTTGGGAGCAGTTCAGATCGTACAGTCTGACAGCTGCAGGGAGGAAGGAGCTGCAGAAACGCTCCTTCATGCATCGAGGATGTTATGTAATGCTCAACTGTGGTCCTTATTATGAAGGACCAAAAAAAGTCACTCTGAATAAGTATTGCATGAAATATATTAAACATGTGATTTAATTTTCCATTTAATTGTATTAACTCGTTAAACAGTTTTTAAATGCATGTTTTTATTCTAAATCATTTCTGCTAAATGATCGGTAATATTAAGTTACTATTACATGATTACTAAATTACTTAATACAATTAGTAAATAAATACCAAAATAAATAAATTCAGTGTCAAAAGAAAAATGTTAATGCACGATCTGCTTTAGAAGTTACTGCGTATGTAACAGCGACTTCCTTATGAGTAGTAAAGGTGTATTAAGTAGCAAACTCACCAGATTAAAGGCTGAGCGCCGTCTATAAAAATAACCACTTGAGTTCAAGTTTAAAATGAGACTGACCACAACTGTCAGAGTGACAAAAGTGAAACATTTGCTTTTTCACCTTAAGTGCCGAAGGCTTGTATACTTTGAACACTAAAGGTCACGGTTAATTCTTGCTGTAATTGTCTTGGTTGTTGATCATTTTGCATGTGAAGCCAAAGTAATGGCTTTGCTCATGTAGACATTAAATGAGAAGATTTTGTCCATGTAAAGTTACGTTTTATTAACACTGACTCCATCTGTGTTCTGTCCGCAGAAAGAACTTGGAGATCGGCAGTCAGAAAGTTTGGAAAAGGTTCGCCAGCTTCTGCCGCTGCCCAAGCAAACCCGCGATGTCATAACCTGTGAACCTCAGGGTTCGCTGATAGACACTAAGGGCAACAAGATAGCTGGCTTTGAGAAGGAGGTAAACACTTTCTTTTTATATGTCGATATACATCCTGTACATTAGGCTTATAAAATTAGATGTACACAGTTTTTATATTTTGAAAGAGGGGTAGAGAAGAACTAAAGATGCAAATACTGCAGCTTGTAAAGATAAATACAAGTTAAGGTCACAGGAAAACCAGATAAACCTGCAACGAACTGATGCTCACTTGATGATTTTGAGTTTAGTAAGTTTAATTTGTCTCTGATCTATCAGGGTCTTCAAGTATCTACCAAACAAAAGATTTCTCCGTGGGATGTTTTTGAGGGTCTGAAACACTCCGCCCCTCTCTCCTGGGGCTGGTTTGGTACGGTACGTGTGGACCGTAAGGTGACTAAGTTTGAGGAGCAGCAGCGATTCCTCCTCTATCACACCCACCTGAAGCCCAAACCACGTAGCTATTACCTGGAGCCGCTTCCCCTACCCCCTGAAGAGGAGGAACCCCTGACGCCTGTCTCACAGGAACCAGAGAAGATGATCGAGGCGGTGAAGACAGAGAAGAGTGTAGCCACGGTGCCACCAGAGGCCAACAAGAAGTCCAAATCCAAGAAAAAGAAAACTGCTTCTAACAAAACAGAGGTCTGTTATCCTGCCAACTGATGTTTTTGTTGTTAAATATGAGAGATCATTATATTTGATTGATTTCCAAACTTAAATAAATACTTGATCCTCTGTGACTAGGACTATAACCGAACACCAGGTCCTGCCTACACAAGTATGGCACCAGAGTTGATGCAGAACCCCACATATCCCAGGACCATGCCCTATAATCCACAGAACGTGTACACACAGAGCCAGCCTCTACCTCCAGGTCAGATTACAGGTCAGATAGTAACTGCAGGATACTCTCATCATTATGACTTATGCTGCTGTAGCACCCAAGAGGAACTGCCACAGCTGGAACATCTGGGATTGAGACTTATGTTTTATTTGTTTCTCCACAGGAGGTCCAGGTTTAGATGCTCCATACAGACAATCAAACCGCAGCCAAATTAGCAAAATGCCCGCTCAGCCTAGTTATCCAGGCATGATGCCCGGCATGCCGGGAAGCATGACTGGCATCATGGGACCAGACAAACAGTACCAAATGACTTTTAAGCCCCATCCCACCATGCCACAAGGCCCGAATCTGCGACACCAACTACAGGTCAGACTGGTGAGTCTGTACCTCTGACGTGTCGAGCAATACTTACTCCTTGAGAATAGTTGTGCCACCTTAGCACTATTTAGCGAACGTAAACAGACGTAGTTTGTGTTTAACTGCTGCTTAAATTCTGATCCTTGATTGTTTTTATAGTGGAGAAAATGAATAATTCAATTTTTGTGTTTTCAGCATCAAAATCCAAACGCATTAGGGCAGATTAGACAAATGCCACCAAACCAACAATATACTTCAATGCAATCCCACGTAAGTGTTTTTTTTCTTTTTCTGAGGTTCATCACATTAACACAAGCTTGTATACATAATCAAACATAGACCACACACCGTGTTTGAAATCGATGCCTGTGGTCTTTCCTGGTCCTGTCTGCAGTCGTCTCCTCCTCCTTGCTTGGCTTATCAACATTGTCTTTATTTGTGCTACACCACAGGGCTATACCACATACGGATCCCACATGGGAATGCAGCAGCATCCATCTCAAAGTGGTAGTATAGTACCTCATTCCTATGGCAACCAAAATTTCCCAGGCGCACATGGAGCCAACCCTGCTGTAGTGGATCCTCTAAGGCAACAGAGGCCAAGTGGGTATCTTCTCCGGCATCCCCCACAGCCCACAGCCTACCCACAGAGCATGCAGAACACACAGAGGTCAGTATTATAAGTAAATCTGCAAGTTTGATCATTATTAGCACTTAGAAGTCTTTGTGTCCTTGTTATGCTTGCTGCATTGTTGCATATGCTAATTTTTCTTATTGGCTTGTACATATCAGGTTTCCCCACCAGCAACTCCAGCAGAATCCTATCATGCCATCCCATCTCGGTCAAATGGGACAAGGTGTCCATCCAGGCTTGTCCAGGCCCAATCAGATATTAACAGAACAGCAGCAGCAGCAGCAACAGCAGCAACAATTAGTGCAGCAGCAGTACCTCAGACAACATGCAGCGATGAGGGTATGTCACTTATATGAAGTTAGTCACATCTTAGCTATGGCTTGGGTTTTCTTAAAACAGAAAAAAGTTGCCTGATGCAGCTTTAAAAACTAAAAAAGGTTGATGGGAGGCTGTGCTTAAAGGCGGGGCCTGTAAACGTAGAGAAAGTTGCTCTTCTAGCGTAGATTAAAGTTCTAAAAGCACATCACTGTGTTAGAAATGTAGTGGTATTGAATAACGTTAACTTTACTTTTAAACACGTTGTCACAGCTAAATGTTTCCTCCTATGCTGAATAAAAGTTGTTCCCAACAAAATTCGTCTTATCTCAGATCGATAGGATTGGTTCCCTAGCTTTGTCTTCTACCATATTAGAGGGGAAAACACCATTTGGACATGTTAACTTGTTTAAATCTGCATCTTTTGAGATTAAATCCAGTATGCAAGAGGCCCTTGCTGTTCTTTCGGCTGTTGTGGTGCATTATTGAAATTTACAAGCTTTTTCTATGTCATGTTTCCCCAACGCAGGCACAACAACATCAACAACAGCAGCAGCAGCAGCAGCAACAGCAGCAACAGCAGCTCCAGCCTCAACAGCAGGTTCCACAGCAGCAACAGCCACAGGTGACGGCTGTGCCTCCACCGGGCCAGGCGCAGAACCAGGGCCTGAGCATGCAGCCGCTGCCACCGCAGCAGCCCATGGTAGGAGTCCAGGTGATTTTAGTGGCTTTTAGTACTCCAGGCAGTCGCAGGATTTCTTCGTTACGACTGGACAGGTGGCAGGTGCTGGGAGGTTTCCGTGGAAATGTCATCTGTATTTAAATATGTTTTGGATATGGTGAGATAAACTAAAGGATTAAGACTTGTTGTTATGCTGCTAAATAATTATTTAAAGTCTGTGTTCAGTTATCACAAAAAATAATTTACAAGAGGGATAAAAAAGAGGTGTATTTGCATCAAAGAGTAGCTTCAATGTTGTTGGGTTTTTCTCTTCCATTAATTCTGATGTTTTTCTTCCATTTTTTAGAAAGTGCAATAAAGAAATAGTCTTGCATAATAAAACAAAAACAATTACAGATAAGGACACGTCCACCCCCCATGAAATTTAAAGTTTTTGTAAACATTTTCCCAAGTACTTCTTCAACAGAGCAAGGCATTTCTAATGTACTATTTCTAAACATAGTTTTCTTTAGAAAGCTTAAATTAGTGATTTGAACACAATGACAGAAATTAATCCAGGAAAAACACAAGAGTCAATATATTTAACTGCCTGAAAAACTGACCTTTTTATTGAGCAATAGCACAAATGACTGACATGTAACAACATGTTTTAGCTTAGTAATGATCAAAGCATGAAAATCAAGTTAAAACCAATCTACCAATTTACACTCAGTGTAACAACTTCTGCAAGGCTTTTAGCGTCACTTAAGATAAATGCCAAGAATAAAAGTAATCGTTTTAGACTTGAGAAAAAGAATTGTTGACACTCACAAATAGGGCTGTTCGATATAACGATATATATCGGAAGACGATATAAAAAAGTCGTTTCATTTTACGCTATCGTTTTTCTTGGTGTCGCAAAATAAACTGTTTACAGCAATATTTTTTCATGGTTCTGATGGTCACTGTAGTT